TTTATAATGCCAGCAGAACCATGATACTCAAAGTAGCCAAGGACACCACAGAAAAGTACAGACCACTAGGGTAAGAGATGTTAAAAAGACTTAATGTGGTGATCATTTCACAACATAGAGAGACATCAAATCTTTATGCCGTACACTTGAAACTAATACAATGCTGCGTGTCAATTATACCTCAGTTTTATAAAAAGAAAAAAATTACAGGCCAATATCCATGATGGACATAGGTGCATAAATCTTTAACAAAATATTAGCAAACCAAATAAAACACCATATTAAAGGTTCTTACATAATCATCAAGTAGGATTTACACCAGAGATACAAGAATGGTTCAATATCCATGAATCAATCAATGTGATACACCACCTTAACAAAATGAAAGATAATAATACCATCTCAAAAGAGGCAGAAAAAGCACTGTTGGCAAAATTTAACATCCCTTTATGATAAGACCTCTGAACATAGTAGGTATAGAGGAAACATGCCTCAACATAACAAGGCCACATATGGCAAGCTTACAGCTAGCATCATACTTAACAGTGAAAATCTGAAAGCTTTACCTGTAAGAACAGGAAGAAGACAAAGATTGCCCACACTTACCACTTTATTCAACATAAAGCCTTAGCCAGAGCAATGAGGCAAGAAATAAAATGCATCCAAACAGGAAAGGAAGAAGTAAAACTACCACTATTTGCATATGACATAAAATTACATATAGGAAACCCTAAAAACTCCACCAAAAAACCATTAGAACAAATAAATTCAGTAAAGTTCCAGGATATAAAATCAATACATAAAAATCTCTTGCATGTCTCTACACTAATAATGAACATTCAAAAAGAGAAAGAAAACAATTCCATTTATTATTGCATCAAAAAAAAAACCACTTTAAAATAAATTTAACCAAGAAGGTGAATATTCTGTATACTGAAAACTGTAAGACAATGATAAAATAAATTGACAAAGACATAAATAAGTTGTTCTGTGCTAATGGGATATTATTAATAATATATTAAAATATATTAAATAATATTATTTTTTTAAATGTTTTATTTATTTCTGAGAAGAGAGAGACAGCATGAGCAGGGGAGGGTCAGAGAGAGGGAGACACAGAATTGGAAACAGGCTCTAGGCTCTGAGCTAGCTGTCAGCACAGAGCCTGATGCGGGGCTTGAACCCACAAACCGGGAGATCATGACCTGAGCTGAAGTCAGACACTCAACATATTGAGCCACCCAGGTGCTCTGGAAAAATATTATTAAAATGTCCCTACAACACAAAACAATCTACAGATTTAATGTAATTCCAACTAAAATATCAATGCATTTATCACAGTAACAGAGAACACAATTCTAAAATTTAAATGGAACCGCAAAAGACCCTGAGTAGCCAAAGAAATCTTAAAAAAAGAAGAACAAAGTTGGAGGCATCACATGGCCTTCTTTCAAACTGTATTACAAAACTGCAGTAATCAAAACAGTATGGTACTGGCATTAAAAAGAGACATATAGATCAATGGAACAGAATAGAGAGCCCAGAAATAAACCCATGAATGTGTAAGTGGTCATTTAATTAAGGACAAAAGAGTCTAAAATATACAATGAGGAATGGATAGTCTCTTCAATTAATGGTATGGGGAAAACTTGACAGTGCATGCAAAAGAATAAAAATGGACCACTGTCTTACACCATGTGGGGAATAAGCTTAGAAATTCCCTGGGCTTGTACCAATGGGCTAACAAGGCATAAGGAATTACACAGCCATAGGATGCTCTCACCCAAACTTGGGTAAACAAGATTAGGACTCCAGGAAAGAGCAGGAGGGGGCAAAGGCCCCCAGAATAGACATGGGGGGCAAAGGCCCCAATACAAAGGTATATGAGGTAAGCAAGATTAGGTATTCAGGGCAAAAACCCCTCCCAATTTAGTACTATAGCAGAAAACTGCTTTCACAGGAAGGAAGGACCAAATTAGGTAAACAGGTAAATAGGGCTATAGACTGCTGTGGGTGATGCTACCCAGAGCAGAGCTGTTTATCAAAAAGAAAAAGGTGCCTTGTTAACCCTGAGGTTACTTGCTCTGTCTTATCCCCTAGGCTAGCTAAGATAAACAGACATGGCACCTCCTTCTGCCATTAACAACCATGTGCCCAGCGCCAGCATTTTGTTTTACATTGACCCAAACTCCAAACACCATATATCTTCAAAACCTCCTTTCCCTCATGCCCATGAGTTAATGTTCACAGATTCATGGTCTCTTTGGACACACCCATCACAAGCCTTCTGATCTTAATAAATACAGAGTAAGGACTGTTATTCGGGGTTCTTGTCTTTTCCCAGAAATTAGTCATCTCTTGTATTTTAATCCTGCGTCTGCTTTCTTGCTGGGGAAGAAAGAACTTTAGACTGAGTCTACGATAACACCATACACAAAAATTAACTTAAAATGGATTAAAGACTTGAATGTTACACCTGAAACCATAGAACTGCCAGAAGAAAACATAGGTGTAAGTTCCTTGACATTGGTCTTGGCGATGATTTTTTGAATCTGACATGAAAAGCAAAAGCAACAAATGTAAAAATAAACAAGTGGGACTACATCAAACTAAAAACCTTCTGCACAGCAAAGGAAACCATCACCAAAATGAAAAGGGAACCCACTGAATGAGAAAAAAGAATTTGCAAATAATATACCTGATACAGGGTTAATATATAAGCTATATAAAGAGCTCATACAATTCAATAGCAAAAAAGAAATTCAATTTTTAAAAATGGCAGATATGAATAGACATTTTTCCAAAGAAGACCTACAGATAACCAATGGCCACACAAAAAGATGCTTAACATCATCAATCTAATCATCAAGGAATTGCAAATCAAACTGCAATGATATCACCTCCCACCTGTTAGAATAGCTATTATCAAAAAGACATGAAATAACAAGAGTTGGAGGGGATGTGCAGAAATGGTAACCTTGGCTCTGTTGGTGGAGTTGCGAATTGGTGCAACCACTATGAAAAACAGTATGAAGTTTCCTCAAAAATTTAAAATAGAACTACCATATAATCCAGAAATTTCACTTCTGGGTATTTTTGCAAAGTAGTTAAACATTAACTTGAAAAGATATCTGCACTGCCGTGTTCACGACGGCATTTACAACAGCCAAGATACAGAAACAATCTAAGTGTCCATAGATGGATAAACAGATAAGGAAATATGGCATATGTATGTTATATTGTGATTTATAGTAAGAAATATATACAGTACTTGGTCTTTAATCCAGTTTCTGTCATTGAGCTCCTAAAACCCTTGGAATTTCCTGTGGTAAGAGATAAAAGTGGCTTTTGGAAAGTCCTTAGGTAACCTAAAGATGGGGACTGATTATCTGGGGAGTCAACAGTGTAATTCAAAGGTTTTAACTTTAGTACCCCCACCCCAATCTCTGGGGTGGGGAGAGGGGTTGAAGGTTGAATCGATCATCACTGGCTGATGAGGACTTAATCATGCCTATGTTATAAAGCCCATAAAAACCCAAACAGACAGGGTTCAGAGGGTTTCCAGATTAGCGAACACGTGAAGATTTGGAGAGTGGTGACCTGGAGAGAGCATGAAAGCTCCACACCCTTCTCCCTCCCCCAACCCTATGTATGCCTTCCACCTGGCTATTCCTAAGTTATATCCTTTTATAAGAAGCCAGTGACCTAGTATGTAAAATGTTTCTGAGTTCTGTTAGCTTCTGTAACAAAATTACTTGAACTCAAGGAGGAGGTCATAGGAATCTGGTTTTTAGACAGTTGGTCAGAAATACAGGTAATAGAGGCACCTGGGTGGCTCAGTCAGTTAAGCATCCGACTTCAGCTCAGGTCATGATCTCACAGTTCATGGGTTCGAGCCCTGTGTCAGCTCTGTGCTGACAGCTCAGAGCCTGAAGCCTGTTTCAGATTCTGTGTCTCCCCCTCTCAGAAATAAATTTAAAAATATATATATTTAAAAAAAAAAAAAAAAGAAGTACAGGTAATAACTTAGACTTGTGAATGGCATCTGAAGTCCAAGGAGGAGGACACGGTAACCTCCAGTCTGTAGCCAGATGTCCGAAGCACAACTAACAGCCTGGGCTTGCTGGTGGCATCTGATACAGAGTAAGAGTTGAGGGCAGTCTTTTAGGACTAAAACTTTCACCTATGAATCTGCTACTACCATTAAGTGGTTAGTATCAGCACTGAGATGAATTCTCAGACACTGTTGGAATTGGTCAGAAACCTATGTTAATATGCATACAATGGAATATTATTCAGCCACTTAAAAGAAAGAAATCTTACCACCTGCAAAAACAGGGATGGACCTTGAAGGCATTATGCTAAGTGAAATAAATCAGACAGAAAAAGACAAGTACAGCATGATCTCACTTATATATGGAATCAAAACAAACGAGCTCCTACATACAGAGATTAGATTAGTGATTACCAGAGGTGGAGGGTGAGGAGTAGGTGAAATGGGTAAAGAAGATCAAAAGGTACAAACTTCCAGTTATGACATAAGTAAGTCATGGGGATATAATGTACAGTACAGTGACTGTAGTTAATAATTCTGTATTGCATGCTTAAAAGTTGCTAAGAATAAATCTTAAAAGTTCTCATCGCAAGGAAAATTATATTTACAACTACGCATGGTGATAAGTATTATCTAGACTTAGTGTGGTGATCATTTTGCAATATAGACAAATAGCAAATCATTATGCTGCACACCTGAAATGAATATATCAATTATACCTAAATTAAAAAATGGTGCTTTCCAGGTCTCCCCAGTCAAACTAAGAACAATAAAAAAATTCCAGAGTAAAAGATAAGCTCTCATCAAGTTTCAGCACACAGACGTTCAATAATGTTTGCTTTGGGGCAAAGTTCCCATCTGTCACCCTTTTTACAAAGGTCCAAATGAATGACCTGTAAATGTGATGCACGTCAAAATCCAAAATGTCAAACAGAATTCTTATTACCTCTCAGCAGAATCTCTGATGAGCTGCTGCAAGTCCACCTCCTGCTTCCTCAGGGTTCCAAATGAAGACTGGCTTTCCACAAGGCCTTTGCCTCCAACATTCAGCTTGACCTTCCCTATTGCCGTCTCGATGGACCCACTCACATGGTTGTGAAACTTGCCCTCATATTTCACAAAGTCCGACTCCACGACCACTGGAGTGAATGAGACATGCAAAAGAGTCTGATGATAATACAGCCACCTCCCTGCCTTAGGTCATCTACCTTTCCAATCCTGTGGAAATCCATGGGAAACATGAAGTTTGCATTCAAAATGGAAAGCTGGCAGCCATGCTGTATGTATGTGCAAAAGAAAATGGAGCCAGTTCATCGTTGTGAACTGGTGGCCAAGCGTTCTACTGTGTGTGTGTCTTTCAGTTCCAACATATACGCATATAGACAGGTGCACCAAAAGTATCTGAAGAAATTACCACATAATGTTAAAGTAAGGATCCACGGGCACTTGGCTGGCTCATTTGAAAGAGCATGTGACTCTTGACCTCAAGGCTGTAAGTTTGAGCCCCATGTTGGGTGTAGAGACCTCTTAAAAATAAACTTTAGGGGCACCTGGGTGGCTTTGTCGGTTAAGCGTCCGACTTTCGCTTGGGTCATGATCTCGCGGTTCGTGGGTTCGAGCCCCGTGTCGGGCTCTGTGCTGACTGCCAGCTCAGAGCCTGGAGCCTGTTTCACAGTCTGTGACTCCCTCTCTCTCTGACCCTCCCCTGCTCACGCTGTCTCTCTCTCTCTCCTAAAAATAAACAAAACATTAAAAAAAATAATAAAAAAAATAAACTTTAAAGCAAACATCCATTTAACCCCTATCCAGATTATAAAACAGAATAGTTTAAATATGCGCTCTTTCAGGGCGAAGACTATAAAGAGACTTCATGAGGATGACACCTAAGCAGAGTGGAAATAGCCGCCTCTACTTACGACAGAGTGGTCTGCCTTATGTGGGATCTAGCAGGTCAGTCAAGTGGGTCCTGGGCATCTTTCCTTCCCACCCATTGGTCTTGGAGAACATTCCCCTGGCCTTCATGGCCATCTCTATGAAAAAATTCCCCTTCCCACACTTACCTGTTTATACTGACTCTACCCGACCATTTAATTCCTTATCATGCCTTATCTCTATTCCTGCTAAAGTCAGTGGGCACGTCTGTCCTCCCTCCCTCTTTCCAACACCATCCTAGAACACACAAGCGCCAGACTCTCTACCCTTCCTTTCTGGCTTCCCAGACCTAGGAAGATGCCGCCACCCACAAAGCATCCCAGCTTCCATCAAGTCCTCTGGGAATTACTATGTTCTTTATCTGGTCACATCCAGATGACTATCATGTTGCCTTCTAGCTCTGCCTTTCTTTTCTGGACACTAAAGATAAACATCTGATGATTTTATCTCTGAACTGCCCGCCTTCTCATGTCTCCAGATTTCTACTGTTCTCATTTGTAATCCAACCAAATACCACCATAAAAATAGTCTCAGTTACTGTCATTTGGTATGGCTACACTTAGAGCCTCTTAGAAACTTCACACTGGGGTTTTTTCATTTCTCTGCCCCAAGGCTCCCTTGGGCTCCTGGTTATACTTCATAAGGCATTCTGCCTGAAGTCTGGAAGGCTTCTTCTTTCCATCCACTCACTGCCCCCAACACCTGTATTTCTTTCACTCCTGTCAAGAAAACCTGTTCCTCAATAAAAGTTAATGAGAATTCATCACCCATCGTTATCTTTGCAATTTACAAAACAGAATCATCTCTCTTACCACCACCAAAAATAAGAAGACTGTGAAAATGCCCTTAATTCAAAGGTCTTTCCTATTTTATTATTCTTATGGAATACAAACACTTTGGGAAATTCTTTGGGGAGTAGCATAGAACAGTTGGTAAGAGCTCAAGATTATAGTCACTATTCCAATATTCCTAGCTAGAAGAACCGGCTAACATTCATCTCCCTGAACCTCAGTTTTCTCATATCTAATATGGAGATAATGCCTTCCTGATGGATTCTGTTACAAGTTGATGTATGTAAATCACATAATACAGAGCCTGGTACATGGCAAGCGCTCAATCTGTCTACTAGATTTAGGCCAGAACAATGTGATTTTCTGATAAAAAGGAAGTCTTAGGTTGTACAAACTGCTATCCAGACAGAAATTCTATCTCTTTACCTCCCCTTTTCTCTAGCTATTTCTGGACCAGCTTGAGAGCCTATCCTGGTCTCCCCAGAAAGCTTCATTAGGTGAGTAATAAAACTTTTCACACCCTCCCGATGGATATGTAGGATCTGAATCAATTAATTTATGCTCAGTGGCCACAACACCTATGGTGGGCATGGATTACTTTTATACCAAAAACTGCAATTTTTTTTTAAAAAACTTAAGCTATAACTTTTCATGTCTGGCCTATAGAATTTTGTTCATTTAAAGAAAGGGTACATCTTTAAGATGATATACAAAGAAAGAAGATAATTCATTATAAGGTCTTACCTTATAATCACTCAAGACAGTATGTAACCTAAAAGATGAAGCATCATCTTTTCCAGAACTAACTGTAGCATATACCCAAAGGAACCTACCTGGACTCAGAGACTGGTCTTCTGTGAGCACATCTCCAAGGGTGACAGATAAAAACTGGTACTTGGGTCTCTGCCAGCGCCAGTATCTCTTTTTTTTGGTCACCAGACTTAGAAGTTGTAATTTATCAGAGTCATTCAAGGTTGATACTGCAATCAGGTTACCTCCAGAATCAACTTCTTTAAGGAAACTCCTTGTTGCTTTGGCAAACATTATGAGAGTCCCAGATTACCTGGAAAAAAAAAGTTACCCCTGAATTAAATAGGAAGCTATTATCTCACTTACTTTTTTTCTAAAATTGTCTTATTCTCCCTAGTGTCCATCCTCTCTTCTCCCTAGAAAACCCTCTAATGGGAGTTCAGTTAATGACAAAAAAAAAAAAAAAAATCAAATTGAAATACTGAAAGAGAAGAGGTGTGTAAGTGGAGATAAACTAGGTTGTGCTTCAGAAAAAAATGAGCTCCAAATCTTAGTAGCTTATAACAAGAGAGGTTTATCTATGGGCCACGCTATACTTCCAATACAAAAGGGCAGGAGAACTTTCCTCACTGTCGTCATTCAAGGACCCAGACTAAAGAGGCAGCCACCTTCTTGAATACTGTCAATTGCCATCCAACAGGAAATAGAGTTCTGGAAAGTCTCACACCAGCAATTAGATGTTCTTGCCTCAAACTGACACGTAACATGTTCACTCACAATTTGTCAGAAGCTGTCATAGGATCTCGGCCAGCCCGAATGGTCAGGAAATATAACCAGACCAAATCATTAGAAGACAGACACATGGGAATATTTGTTGACCAACATACTGACTTCCCTAATTTGTAGATACAAAGATATGACCTCTTCTTTGACGGGTCAATGTGCCATTTCTCCATACTCTGATTCCCCCTATTCAGAAATGGAAAGACACTATTACTTTTAATTCAGAAATGAGGGCCTCATCACTACCCAGCTGTAGGGGAAAAGGAGAAACACACTGGAAGATATAAAATACTGTATTCAGTGGACGAAGTACAGACTATTCAATAAATGGTGTCAGAAGAATGGGCTTATCCTCCGGAAAAAAAAGTAAAGCCAGATTCGTATCTCATGTCATACACAAGAGCAAATTCTCAGTGGATTAGAGGCTGTTTTGAGGAAAAATGAAACTATAAAAGTACAAGTTAAAAATACAAATATTTGTTCAATTGTAGGATGAGAAAGGCCTTTAGGAAGACAAACAAAACTGAGAAAATACTTATAACATTTATAAAAAAAAACTAGAATACTTATAAAAAAATACTTGTAAAAATTCTTTCACAAATTGTTTTTAAAACACTATAGTAGAAATATGGTTAAAGGTTATTCAACAACTCACAATATATAAATTGCACCTAGCCTATATACATATAGGCTATATACATATATATGTACACGTGCAAACACAAATACACACATGTAATTATTACTAAAAAAAAAAAAGACAAGTGAAATAAGACTTTTTAAAAATTACCCATGGTCAAAGATTAAAATATCTAATGGATAAGAAATGTAGTTTATTTGTATTTGTACCGTGGTGTCTGGCAGCCACATAGATAGAAAATCACAGAGTCTGAGAGCTGGGAGCAGTCTTAGACATTAACTAGTTAAACCCACTTGCTTTAACATGAACCTCCTCTAGGACATTAGAAAATGTTTGCCTTACTTATTACTCACCCTTCTCTAAAGTGCCTTTTCTCCAATTATCATGTGGCTACCTCACCCTGTTCTTGTTTATTAACAATAGGAATAAACTTTAAGGAAGGTGTTCTAAAACATAAAAAGTTACTTTCTGATAAACGGTGAACAGCAAGGAAGGAAAACTATCTGCTCAGACTCTCATCTCTAATTCATCTCTCACTATACGAAGTTGCTTCCTAGCAAAGGAGCACTTACTTATTGAAGCATTTCCTGAATCATTAATTATCCTCAAGTGTCTACAACACACAGGTACTTGCTTTAAGCACTTAGGATACTGATACAAAAAGTCATCTACCTCTACACAGATGGCCTACAGACACATGAAAGGATGCTCAATATCACTAATTACTAGGAAAATGCAAATCAAAACTATAATAAGATATCACTTCACACCACTCAGAATGGCTAGAATCAAAAAGACAAGAAATAATAAGTGATGGTGAGGGAGTGGATAAAAAGGCACTGTTGGTGGGAATGTAAATTGGTGCAGCTGCTGTGGAAAACAATGAGCAGTTTCCTCAAAATATTAAAAATAGAAATACCATGATCCAGGAATCCCATTGCTGGGTATTTACCCAAAGAAAACAAAAACACTAATTTGAAAAGATATATGCACCCCTATGTTTACTGCAGCATTGACAACGGCCAAGATATGGAAGCAACCCAAGTGTCCACTGACAGACAAATGAATAAAGATGTGGTGGGTGAGTGTGTGTGTGTGACGGGATATTACTCAGCCATAAAAAAGAATGAGTCTTGCCATTTACAACAATATGGATGGACATAGAGCGTATTATGCTAAGATAAAGACAAATAACCATAGGATTTCACTTAACATGTAGAATTGAAAAACAAAAACAAAATAAATGAACAAAAGCAGAAACAGATCCCATAACACAGAGAACTAACTGATGGTTGCCAGAGGGGTGGGGTAGAGAGATGGATGAAGGGAGTGGAAGGTGCAGGCTTCCGGTTATAGAATAAGTCACCGGGATGAAAGGTACAGCATGGGGAATGTAGTCAAGGGGTATTGCAATGGCCTGTGTGGTGCCAGGTGGTAGCTACAGTTGTGGTGTGCATAAGTTAGACTGTTGTCAATGCATATGCTGTACAGCTGAAACTAATGTAACTGTGTGTCAACTATCCATCAATAAATATATAAAGTAGTCTCTCTTAATGAGCTACTAGTTTGGTGGCCAGATAGAAAAATACACAACTAGATTTTATGCCAGATACTGACATTAATTGTCATAAGAAATGGACCAAGAAAAGGGCTCTAAATCCAACTGGAGAGAAGCACAGGGTCAGAGGAGTCCTGAAGTAGACAGGATCCAAGCTGCATTTTGTGGACTAAGTAGAAGCAGGCAGAGGAGCAGCAATTATAAAAGCCTGGCATTTGCACGGAAGGGTGGGGAAAATCATGCACAGCAAGATTTGTGACTGACAAGCTCATGGTGGTCCACGAGACATCGTTTTGTGTAAGTACACCCATCACCACTTCCTTGACAGACACAGAATTACCTTTCAAACTCTGGGCTTGGTTCTCACATTGGAGTGCACGGTTCTAGAGTGGGGAAGGGCAAAGGACAGGGATGAGGAAGCCTTGGTCTAGGCCATGCAAGCCGTGCCTCCCCTGCTGGGGGCCATCAGAGGGGTTGTATAGGGAGCAATGCAATCAGAGTGGTCCCTTAGCAAGATCTTCTGGAAGCAAAATAGGAAGCCAGCTGGGAGGAAATAAGATTAGAGATGGACAGCAAATGCTTATTCTGAACTATGTCATTGGTGTAAGGATAGAAAAGATGTTGATCTGGTGGTTTCTCCAGAACTCTGGTTGGATGTGAGGGCAGTATTGAAAGAGACTCCCGAGGATGGCCGCCAGGTATGTCAGGTGTGGTTGGCCAAGGAGACAGAGATGCCAGGTGTCAAGAAAGGGAATTTAGGAGGAAACAGATTGATGGAGGACAGTAAGACGTACCCACTGAAAGTGGGTGCAGGGTAGCATGCAAGATTTATTGTGACAAACATATGGAAAGAACCTTTAACAAAATAAGGTCTCCCCAGTGACCTGTGGGAATTTGTCCTGCTTATCCAAGAGAAGAGCCACAGCAGAATCTGCCCCAGTGTACCATTGGTATCAGAATCTCTAGTTTTATGGGTTCTAGTCTTTTCTGGTACAACCTGAAAGGGAGTTCACTAACTTCCCTTCAGGTCAAACAGGTTTCGGAAAAAGCCAAATCAGACATGTCATTAAAAAAACATAACTTGGGGCACCTGGGTGGCTCCGCTGGTTAAGCATCCGACTCTTGGTTTCAACTCAGGCCATGATCTCATGCTTTGTGTGTTCAAGACCCACATCCGCCTCTGCACTGACAGGGCAGAGCCTGCTTGGGTTTCTCTCTCCCTCTCTCTCTCTGCCCCTCCCCTGCTCACTCAATCAATAAATGAACAAAAAAAGAAAGAAAAAAATAACATAATAAAATCCATCTGTTGTGGATGGCAAAGCCTTTGAAATGACACTAGTCCTCCCCAGAGGAATTAGAGGCTAAGGAAAAGGAACTCCTAAATTATTATTTTTTTGCCCACCATCAAATACAGCTAATTTGCCTTCTTGACAGAGTAGTGTGCTTTAGGAAAAGCTAATGCGGGTAGCTATTCCTTTATAGGTTTCTATGAGAATCAGGCTAATTCAATCAAGGAACTCAGTATATTCTCCTTGTGAAGTTAAAGATAGAGGTTTCTTTTTTATTGTTATGTTTAAATGCATATTACATGCCTCAAATATCAAAACTGTGTACAAAATATATATATACACACACTGTGAAATCTCATTTGTACCCAGATCCCATCTACCCTTTCAAGGCTCTTCCCTGCAGGTATATTACCATGGTATTTCCTTATACAAATACAAGTTCAAAGAAGTCTGCACACTCTTCTGCATCTTATTTTTTATCATATAACAACATGTCCTGGAAATCTTTCCCTGTTAATACCTTCATCTTTGCAGCTGCATAATACTCCATCATGGGGCTGTACCACTGTTTATCCTTTATGGCTGATCACTAAGGTTATTTCTACATTTTTTATCATAAAAATGCCACACCAAATACTCTTGAACATGTCTTCTTCATACATGGGTAAGAGAATCCAAAAGAAGATTCCTACAAGAGGGATTGCTAGATGAATGGGAAAATACATAAAATAATTTTAGGGGCTGCACCATTTTGCAGTTTCACCAATAAGGTATGAAAGTCTCAGCAATAGTGTTCTCAAACTTTTGTATTTTTGTCAGTATCAGAGGTGAGAGACAGTATCTCAGTAGAGTCTTAGAATATGTTATTTTTATGAGTTTAATCAAGCATCTTTTAAAGAATTTTTGTATTTCCTTTCTTAACCACTTGTGTTCTTGGTCCATTTTCTATAGTTTTTTTTTCTTTTTTCCTAGGAGTTTTTATATAATAGAGAGATAAGCTAAAACAGGCTGGAAATTTAATACAGTCAAGTTTACCATGTGAC